ATGTCTCTCCTTCCAAGGTGGTTCAGCAGACACCTCGGGAGTTTATTTCCTTACACAAAAGTTTATTTCCTTACACAAAAGTTTATTTCCCTACACAAAAGTTTATTTCCCTACACAAAAGTTTATTTCCTTACACAAAAGTTTATTTCCTTACACAAAAGTTTATTTCCCTACACAAAAGTTTATTTCCCTACACAAAAGTTTATTTCCTTACACAAAAGTTTATTTCCTTACACAAAAGTTTATTTCCCTACACAAAAGTTTATTTCCCCCACACAAAAGTTTATTTCCCTACACAAAAGTTTATTTCCCTACACAAAAGTTTATTTCCCTACACAAAAGTTTATTTCCCTACACAAAAGTTTATTTCCCCACACAAAAGTTTATTTCCCCACACAAAAGTTTATTTCCCCACACAAAAGTTTATTTTCCTACACAAAAGTTTATTTCCTTACACAAAAGTTTATTTCCCTACACAAAAGTTTATTTCCCCACACAAAAGTTTATTTCCCCACACAAAAGTTTATTTCCCCACACAAAAGTTTATTTTCCTACACAAAAGTTTATTTCCCTACACAAAAGTTTATTTCCCTACACAAAAGTTTATTTCCCTACACAAAAGTTTATTTCCCTACACAAAAGTTTATTTCCCTACACAAAAGTTTATTTCCCTACACAAAAGTTTATTTCCCTACACAAAAGTTTATTCCTATCCGGGAACAGTTTAAATGGCCGCATTATATATCCTAACATATTATCTATGTAATTATTTTCAAGTTTATTCTACTTTCTCGAGAAAGAATCATTTTTTTCTATTTTAAGAATAAATTACTATTCAACAATTTCTTTAAATATACTTTCCAGTTCGATCCACTTTAGAATGGTCTTGGAGGATTTATAAGTGTTCTGGAGCTGTTGTATTAAACTGTATTGAGTTGAATTGTACTGTAGTACACTGGGTTACAACTCATGATGCATTTTATAGCTCTGTATTTTGCTGTATTGTCATACATTGAGCTGTATTTTTTTTGCAATATGGTGTATTGAGCAGTTCTAAATGATGTTAACATGAACTGAGTTGCGAAATAATATGCTTATTGTATTATTGTATACTGTATTGTGCTGTATTGTGATGCATTTCGTTACAACTCATTGTATCATTAAATACTTCTCTGTTCTGCTGCTTTGTGTTGTATTTGACTGTAGTGTGTTGCACTGCATCATGCAGCACTCAGTTGTATGAATCTGTTATTCGTTCTCTTGTATTGTTGTCTGTTTTATCCCGTTGTATTAGTTTGTTTAAAATAACAAGAGTAAAAATATATGTATTTCATCTTCCTGTATAATTTGCAATGTAAAATTCTACATTGAATTCTTTTCAAAATGTTGAACATATTGCTTTGGTTTATCTGACTAAACTGTGTTGCAGCTACTGCATGGGTATATATATATATATAGATATATATATATATATATATATATATATATATATATATATATATATATATATATATATATATATATATATATATATATTATTGTACCTTGTTTAAAAGCCTTCTTGTTCACTATTCCGTCACGCACTCTCGCTCTCACTGAAAGATGCGACCACAGCTTGTACAGCTTCGTGGCAGGGAACGATTACAGTCTACACAGCTTCGTGGTAGGGACCGACCACAGCCAGCACAGCTTCGTGGCAGGGACCGACCACAGCCTACACAGCTTCGTGGCAGGGACCGACCACAGCCAGCACAGCTTCGTGGCAGGGACCGACCACAGCCAGCACAGCTTCGTGGCAGGGACCGACCACTGCCTACACAGCTTCGTGGAAGGGACCGACCACAGCTTGTACAGCTTCGTGGCAGGGACCGACCACAGCCAGCACAGCTTCGTGGCAGGGACCGACCACAGCCAGCACAGCTTCGTGGCAGGCACCGATAACAGCCTACACAGCTTCGTGGCAGGGACCGACCACAGCCTACACAGCTTCGTGACAGGGACCGACCACAGCCTACACAGCTTCGTGGAAGGGATCGACCACAGCTTGTACAGCTTCGTGGCAGGGACCGACCACAGCCAGCACAGCTTCGTGGCAGGGACCGATCACAGCCTACACAGCTTCGTGGCAGGGACCGACCACAGCCTACACAGCTTCGTGGCAGGGACCGATCACAGCCTACACAGCTTCGTGGCAGGGACCGACCACAGCTTGTACAGCTTCGTGGCAGGGACCGACCACAGCCAGCACAGCTTCGTGGCAGGCACCGATAACAGCCTACACAGCTTCGTGGCAGGGACCGACCACAGCCTACACAGCTTCGTGGCAGGGACCGACCACAGCCTACACAGCTTCGTGGCAGGGACCGACCACAGCCTACACAGCTTCGTGGCAGGGACCGACCACAGCCTACACAGCTTCGTGGCAGAGACCTGAGAGAGAGGAACGCTCACCACCAGCTAAAATGTCCTCTGAATCCACTTTTCCCCGCGAAAAATAGGTAAACACTGCCAGGTTTGGCTTGTCTCTGGGGAGACAATGTTGTCAAAAACGCGCCAAAGCAACAATTTCCGTCGTGACCAAGTCATCCCCCGCGTGTCACCTGTCCTCATATCCGGCGTTAAAATGACACCATTTTCCCTCTAAAGATAATTAAATATCCTAGGAAACAACTTCACGGCGTCATGTAGTTGAAGAAACGTGAGTAAAGCCATTTATCCCGGCTATATAGCTCATAGTGACGGACCCAAAACAGAAAACGGAAACAGTGCGTCACTTTCGCGAGCCGCTTCCATTTTAAAGTACGACAATTTTGGCATTTATGTAACGCATACGTTCGAAATGCGACGTTCTTTGTAGGATTAAAACAGGCTGCGTTACGTGTGCAAGATCCCCTAGCTGGTTATCTTGAGATAATTTCGGGGCTTTTTTTGTGTGTCCCCTCGGCCCGGTCCTCGACCAGGCCTCCACCCCCAGGAAGCAGCCCGAGACAGCTGACTAACACCCAGGTACCTATTTTACTGCTAGGTAACAGGGGCATAGGGTGAAAGAAACTCTGGCCATTGTTTCTGGCCGGCGTCTGGGATCGAACCCAGGACCACAGGATCACAATTCCAGCGTGCTGTCCGCTCGGCCGACCGGCTCCCTGGTGGCCACAATCTCTTCACATCATAAACACCTAAGTCAGCCTTCACGCCAGAACTCGAAGACCCTTAGAGACACGAACCCATCAAGGAAGAGGACGAGGCAAGAGAATCATATCTTGAGGTTATCTTGAGATGATTTCGGGGCTTTAGTGTCCCCGCGGCCCGGTCCTCGACCAGGCCTCCACCCCCAGGAAGCAGCCCGAGACAGCTGACTAACACCCAGGTACCTATTTTACTGCTAGGTAACAGGGGCATAGGGTGAAAGAAACTCTGCCACCAGAGTCCACCTGAAACATAGTCCACCTAAATCGCATTTCCCGGCAGGTAACTCGTAAGTATTCTCTACCTCTTCCCGCCCTCATGCGCCGCATCACAGGCGCTCAACCAGCGCTCTCCAAATATTGTCTCCCTACACGGCGGGTACAGGAGACACGCCAGAAACACTCCGCCACAGGGACCAATATCGGCTTTACCCCGGCGAGAACCACACCAAGTGGTTATGTGCCCCTCACCAAAGAAGAAGCCCCTGGTATACGTCGTATATAGCCCCTGGTATACGTCGTATATAGCCCCTGGTATACGTCGTATATAGCCCCTGGTATACGTCGTATATAGCCCCTGGTATACGTCGTATATAGCTCCTGGTATACGTAGTATATAGCCCCTGGTATACGTCGTATATAGCCCCTGGTATACGTAGTATATAGCCCCTGGTATACGTCGTATATAGTCCCTGGTATACGTCGTATATAGCCCCTGGTATACGTCATATATAGCCCCTGGTATACGTCGTATATAGCCCCTGGTATACGTCGTATATAGCCCCTGGTATACGTCGTATATAGTCCCTGGTATACGTCATATATAGCCCCTGGTATACGTCATATATAGCCCCTGGTATACGTCGTATATAGTCCCTGGTATACGTCGTATATAGTCCCTGGTACACGTCATATATAGCCCCTGGTATACGTCGTATATAGTCCCTGGTATACGTCGTATATAGCCCCTGGTATACGTCGTATATAGTCCCTGGTATACGTCGTATATAGTCCCTGGTATACGTCGTATATAGGCCCTGGTATACGTCATATATAGCCCCTGGTATACGTCGTATATAGCCCCTGGTATACGTCATATATAGCCCCTGGTATACGTCGTATATAGCCCCTGGTATACGTCATATATAGCCCCTGGTATACGTCGTATATAGTCCCTGGTATACGTCGTATATAGCTCCTGGTATACGTAGTATATAGCCCCTGGTATACGTCGTATATAGTCCCCTGGTATCGTCGTATATAGCCCCTGGTATACGTAGTATATAGCCCCCTGGTATACGTCGTATATAGCCCCTGGTATATGTCGTATATAGTCCCTGGTATACGTCGTATATAGTCCCTGGTATACGTCATATATAGCCCCTGGTATACGTCGTATATAGCTCCTGGTATACGTCGTATATAGTCCCTGGTATACGTCGTATATAGCTCCTGGTATACGTAGTATATAGCCCCTGGTATACGTCGTATATAGTCCCTGGTATACGTCGTATATAGCCCCTGGTATACGTCGTATATAGCCCCTGGTATACGTAGTATATAGCCCCTGGTATACGTCGTATATAGCCCCTGGTATATGTCGTATATAGTCCCTGGTATACGTCGTATATAGTCCCTGGTATACGTCATATATAGCCCCTGGTATACGTCGTATATAGCCCCTGGTATACGTCGTATATAGTCCCTGGTATACGTCATATATAGCCCCTGGTATACGTCGTATATAGTCCCTGGTATACGTCATATATAGCCCCTGGTATACGTCGTATATAGCCCCTGGTATATGTCGTATATAGTCCCTGGTATACGTCGTATATAGCCCCTGCTATACGCCGGAGGTCACAGCGCCCCACATCAAAATAATGTCTCGACTCACTTGTAAGCTGGTCAAATTTAATGGTCGTTTGTCTCTGTTTTCCGCCGGGGATTCTCTGAGATATTGGTTGTTGGAGCAGGTCTTTAAAAGTTGTGTGTGTGTGTGTGTGTGTGTGTGTGTGTGTGTGTGTGTGTGTGTGTGTGTACTCACCTAGTTGTGCTTACGGCGGTTGAGCTCTGGCTCTTTGGTCTCGCCTCTCAACCGTCAATCAACAGGTGTACAGGTTCCTGAGCCTATTGGGCTCTATCATATCTACACTTGAAGCTGTGTATGGAGTCAGCCTCCACCACATTACTGCATAATGCATTCCATTTGTCAACCACGCTGACACTAAAAAAAAGTTCTTTCTAATATCTCTGTGGCTCATTTGGGGCACTCCGTTTCCACACACACACACATTTGTGTGTGTGTGTGTGTGTGTGTACTCACCTAGTTGTGTTTGCGGGGGTTGAGCTCTGGCTCTTTGGTCCCGCCTCTCAACCGTCAATCAACAGGTGTACAGATTCATGAGCCTATCGGGCTCTGTCATATCTACACTTGAAACTGTGTATGGAGTCAGCCTCCACCACATCACTTCCTAATGCATTCCATTTGTCAACCACTACGAGTATGTGTGTGTGTGTGTGTGTGTGTGTGTGTGTGTGTGTGTGTGTGTGTGTGTGTGTCTAGTACACGAAACATTACCTAATAAACATAAGATGCTTGATATCAATTAGGTGAATCACAAGACAGGAGGGGGGACAAGAGCTGAGGCCCGACCCTGGGAACACCGTCAGGCAAGCACGGTTAGGAATGACCACAAACACACCCAATCATACCCAACATTCAATTTGTTTTCCACCCGTTATCCTCTCAACTTCTCTCAACCAAAAATTTCCCTCCAACATAATTTAATGAATCAAATCCAGAATAATATAAAAACAGAGCGACAGAAAATGGGATTAATAAAAAAAAACTGGTCAGTGCTCAGAGGAACCCGGGGTTGTGTGGGGGGGGGGAGGTGGTTGTGACGGGTGGTTGTAGTTGGTGGTGGTGGTTGTGACGGGTGGTTGTGGTTGGTGGTGGTGGTGGTTGTTACAATGGGTTGTGGTTGGTGGTGGTGGTTGTGAGGTTGTGGTTGGTGGTGGTGGTGGTGGTGGTTGTTACAATGGGTTGTGGTTGGTGGTGGTGGTTGTGAGGTTGTGGTTGTTGGTGGTGGTGGTGGTGGTTGCTACAATGGGTTGTGGTTGGTGGTGGTGGTTGGTGGTGGTGGTGGTGGTGGTTGCTACAATGGGTTGTGGTTGGTGGTGGTGGTTGGTGGTGGTGGTGGTGGTGGTTGCTACAATGGGGTTGTGGTTGGTGGTGGTGGTTGGTGGTGGTGTGGTGGTGGTTGTTACAATGGGTTGTGGTTGGTGGTGGTGGTTGGTGGTGGTGGTGGTGGTGGTTGCTACAATGGGTTGTGGTTGGTGGTGGTGGTTGGTGGTGGTGGTGGTGGTGGTTGCTACAATGGGTTGTGGTTGGTGGTGGTGGTTGGTGGTTGGTGGTGGTGGTTGTTACGATGGTTGTTGTTGTTTAACATTCGCTACTTAGAACAAAAAGTTCCAAGTAGCACCGACTATGGTGAGCCCGTGTTCCGATGGTGGTGGTAATTACTTACCAGTAATTCCCATTAAGTGTCAATGAAGGAATGAGGTCTAGCTCTCGGTACCCCGCCTATCGCGTTGCAATTTACCAAATCTGACGTTTGACTTATCGAATCAGGCCTTAAAGTTGTGGATGGAGGTGGCTTCTACAACCTCTTCTTACAATGTACTCCACTTGCTAACCACCCGTTCAGGGAACGAGTATTTTCGTCTACATTCCTTCGGCTCATTTGCCTT